TGATAAATGTGCGAAACTGTTTTCATTGCTGTTCTCTAAGAAATCTCTTGGTGTAAGATTTATATCTGAATAAAGTATAAAAGAATTGTGCTCAACACTGAGAAAATGTAACAAAAAAAACGTAGCATCGTATATCTTCAGGAGTATATGACACTACCCATGTCACGTTTCCTCCCACTCACCACCAGTGGCACAGCGGTATGTCTGCGGACTTACAACGCTAGAAACCAGATTTCGATACCCGTGGTGGGCAGAGCACAGATAGCCCTTTTGTATAGCTTTGTACTTAATTACAAACAAATAAACAAACCTCAACTGATCTCACAAAGGTACTATATGAAGTTAAACCACTTAATCCCGCACATACGTATTCCGCGGGGAAGATTTTAACACCATCTATAACTATAAGTAACTAGAGCACCAGCAAGTTAGTTTACATTCTATAACACTGAAAACTTGTTTGTGTGAAAACTTTAGGCTAATACGAGATTCTCACCTATCTATATTAGAAGACAAAAGAAAAACATAGAATATTTCCGATACCACATAATCGTTGTAGTATTTTTGAGGAAAGAATGTACGGCAATTTATACTGACAGGAAACTTGCGTATTGAATGAAACTGTGATTGTTACAGTATTTACAGCAGTCGGTTATTGCCTTATACTTGGTTGATATCTATAAATTTGCCGAGACACCGCACAGTGGACGTGCAGAGAGCCATTAGTTTGGTTTTCAGCTTTTGTTGAGGGCATTTCTATCTTCATAAACACTGGCTTTCTTTTAAACTGATAATAAACTATAGCAAAATTACAGAAAGAAATGATGATGCTGTTTCTTAGTTCATGTACGCCCTGCTACACTATTTGGATGTTTAATGTGATGGAAATAATTAAGCAGGGGTAAATTTATATTTCAAATTATTCTATGAACACTCCTTTTTCTATTTTATAAGTAAATACTAACCCTTTAGCTGTTGCTCTGGATACAGACTTGGGACACAAATTTAAGCCTGATATTTTTGAAGATATATTATATTTCCAACTAGTTGATAGTGTTATAGAGAGATGAAGGTTTTTATGGAAATATAAAGTAGTTCTCATGTTAGAAAAGTCTGATGATAAATGGATGCAAACCTCAACTGAATTGGGTAACTATTTAAACTTCTGGTTGAGTTGAGTACTACATGAAAATCCCAAGGGTTGAGCCACCTAGCACTGATTCCTTATGTGGAAACCTTTCAAAATATAGAAAAGAGTTCCCTTACTGTATTATTGATTTTACTTCTTTTGTTTTTCCTAGCTACATTATAACTTAAACCTGCACGTTGTACCAGATAGTGCCACACATAATTAGCAGGCTGACAGATCATCCCATGCTTATAACTGATAACTAAACATCACCATGTTATCTATACCGTCTTGTAACAGAGTATGGCAAAGTGTCCACTCTGCTTCCGACTGGCCTAAGGTGGTCAGGGAGGCTTCTCTTGGTGAGAAGGTATCCTTATATCCTCTTGGATGGTGTGTACTCACTTCAGGAATGACAACTCTATTATCATAGGCTACTGGCCTATCATCATTCGTCTACTTTCTTATTGTTAATAGGACCAAGAACTGGAGTTCTGATCAGTGAGTGGTTAATGCACTACTGCAAATAAGTTAAAAAACAGTGCCCAGATTGTTGCTTGCAGGAGAAACGAAATCATGCACCCAGCAGGAGATCTAAATTGTTTCAGTTTTCCAATGCCAAATCCATGAGTGTGCCAGGTGTAAAGCTACATACTGCTTGAGGTCATGAAGGTAATTCACAGAATGAAGTTCTGTCAATGGATGGATTAACCATACTGTAGCAAGAAATTTTTTGACTAATCTTCTGCTTCTGGATTAGACTAAGATAATTAATTCTCTGTATTGGGAAATACTGAAATTAATAAGAATACTATGAAGAAATATCTGAAAACAAATAGGTGAAAACCTCAACTGAATTGGGCAAATATTTACAATGCTGATTGAGTTGACTCCCTCTGGTGGGAATATAACCTTGGTTGTAAGCATTTATGTTGACTATAGAAATCGATTATATAGTGTAGTGCAAGAACGTCCAATTCAGATGGATGTCTTAAAGTTTAAAACTACAATGGAGTGTTTAAGTAAAACTTTATAAGTGTAAATATAGCTATATTACTATTTAATGTGCTTATTTAAAACTAAATATATGGTCAATAGGTATAAGTAAACATCACGAAATTAGACTGCTTTTCTAAGTCATAGATTCATATTTTAGCTAGGATACAAACCCAAGACTTAGCATTTTTGATATAAGAATTAGATTGCTTAACTAAGTCACAGGTTTATATTTTAAGCTAGAATATAAACCTATGATTTAGTATTTTTGATATAGGAATATGAATTATAGTAAGCAGTGTGTGTAGTTTTCGATAGATGATTAACTGGTGTCTACATGTAATAGTCTGTATAATTTTATATAAATAATAAATACTATTATTGCCTGTAGTACTCAACACATTGTTGTTTCTCTTTTAAGATGTATTGTAAGCTACATTTTCAATGTTTTAATTTAAATGTTTGCTAGAGGGAAGCTGACAGTAGGATAATGTCAAGACCTAAAGTTTTTGAACGTTAAGGACCGAGAAGCTTCCTGGACTATGTAAAAGTAAAAGTAGGATATAAGTATGTGTAATCGTTCATTGGTTGAATCAATTAAATTAGTTTAGTGTCAGAAAAGTTATTCAGTGAGAGTTATAGCGTCTAATAAGCTACTGTTACGCCTCCAGTCGTTAATTGATTTTCCATAA